AAGTACTGAGTGCTTAAATAGCACTTACGTCTTCAAAGCTCTGGACTATTGTTAGTTCTCCCATACCAGCTAGGTATGGACACTAATTCCAACTTTTAAAAATGGGGAAATTAAGAGCCTGACTTCTCATCTTATACTCATTCTTTTGTATTCTGCTGCCTCCTTTCTGTCACTAGTGTTACCTGGCATTGCTGTAGTTTGGGTTTGTATTTAAAATTCTGAGAGTATTTCCCATAGCATTAGGATAATTTTAAAGTGGGGCCCATAGTTTGGGTTACACTAGGTTGACAGTATCTCTTTAAATTACAGGCTGTTTTGCATGTTGTTAAAATATTGAGTCTTTAGCTGTTGAAAGTGTTCTACTCAGGTGCATAGCTTCCAAAAGTACTCAAGTGAGGAAAACCTAGCACCTGAAGCAGCCAGAAAGTCATCAAATGTCATCTGAAAGTAGCTAATGCAGGGATCTCCTGAACACAAGAAGGAAAGTCTTTGCATGTTATGTTCGCAGCAGTTAGCTATCTATTGGAGACAAAATCCTGCAGTTCGAGGTGCTGAGGGTGTACTTGAGCCAGGGAGGGGGTTGTTTTTTAAATTAAGGAGTGCTACTTCCTATGTACATATTTCCAGTAGAAACTAGGATTTGATGCATAGGGTGTGTCTAAAAAAACACATAAAATTGGGAAATTATAAACAAAATTTTTATTGAATGTGCCTCCTCTCTCACAGTATGCCTCACTGTGGATCTTTGCTTTATCAGTTTAGTCTATAAGGGTATGTCTACACTACCACCCTAGTTCGAACTAGGGTGGTTGATGTAGTCATACGAACTTGCAAATGAAGCCCGGGATTTGAATTTCCCGGGCTTCATTTGAATCTTGCCGGGCGCCACCATTTTTAAATGTCCGCTAGTTCGGACTCCATGCCCGCGGCTACACGCGGCACGAACTAGATAGTTTGGACTAGGCTTCCTATTCCGAACTATCTGTATGCCTCGTTCCACATCCAGATAGTTCGGAATAGGAAGCCTAGTCTGAACTATCTAGTTTGTGCTGCGTGTAGTCGTGGGCACGGAGTCCGCACTAGCGGACATTTAAAAATGGCGGCGCCCGGCAACATGCAAATGAAGCCCGGGAAATTCAAATCCCGGGCTTCATTTGCAAGTTCGTATGACTACATCAACCACCCTAGTTCGAACTAGGGTGGTAGTGTAGACATACCCTTATAGACTAAACTGATAAAGCAAAGATCCACAGTGAGGCATACTGTGAGAGAGGAGGCACATTCAATAAAAATTTTGTTTATAATTTCCCAATTTTAGGATAGGGACTATCCTTATTCTGTAATGCTTATAAGAAGCACACGGGTTCTTTTTCAGGGGAAAAGGCAGTATGCTACATTTATTGAGAATATGGTAGAAAGCAGTTAGCATATGCTACACACACACCCCCACACCCACACTCCCTCTCCCCTGTTTCTCCCCTCTCACTAGGGTTTAATATATTTGTCTACGCCCACACCCACTCACCCACCCACCCGTCCTACAGATACCAGTTTGTTGTGGCTCAAGTCACTCTTACTGGCCAGGCAAGGCTAACTGAGTGAGGAGTCGGAGTTCCTCTGAGTCTTGGCTTAGAGGACTGGACCCAGAATTTAATGGCCAGAGCTCCCCTTCTTATACATGTAAGTTCCCATTTGAGGCTATGGGTATTGCAGTGTCCTGCTGCAATCATCCATCCTTACGAGGTGTAAATCTGTGTATTCCAGAGTTCTCTTTGATGGTGATTGTCAAGCTTCCCAGCCTTGTCTCTCATTCTTGGGGGTGTCTGCCTATCGCCAGGGTTCTGTCAATGCTGCTAATTCAATTCAGCTTCAGACACAATGTCTGTTTCCTTGTTATCATCAAAATTTCCACTTCTTCTTGATCACCTGGGCATCTGTGATGGCTGTCACACACATATCCTCCACTCACACCAAACAATTGTGCAACATATCAGACAAGATTAATAGTTACTAGAAGACACAACTTGGTTTGTGATGCAGAGAAGGGGTACAACTTAATTTGCAATGCTAACAGGAAGAAGGCCTTACAGTAAACATCTAATCATGAGGGAGAGGGTGAAATAGAAGCATACAGAACTTATAAGCAAGCCATTATACATCAAATCATTACACGTCATACTTATAATCTTATAACCAATACTAAAATATACATTTTTGCTACATGTCTCTGTTTGCATAGTGCCTAACACACTGCAGTCCTGTTCTTGATTGACTCTTAGGCATTACCTCAATAAACATGATAAATAATAACATGAAAGTCCAAGGAAGAAAGTAGTTACCTAGCAACATCAGAATGAAAGGGTAAGAATTAGCCACAGAGGGTATTTCTGATCCCTTCTACAAAAGAAGAGTACCTCAAAAATATGTGAAAAACAACATAGGTCTGTAACAATATTCGAAAATGAGGATTACAATTTACTCTTTTTTTCACCTTTATTGTTTTTAAATCTCCTTACTGCAGTGAATTTTTAGAAAGCAGTTGTAACCACCACAGCCAAGTGTACTGAACTGGAAATGTTGGTGAAAATAGGATAATGTGGTTCTGGAGGGCACCCTGCAAACCATAGTGGTGCTGGAAAAATGTCTTATTTTTTCCCCAAAAGCAACATTAGCTCCGAAGGCACAGAATCAATGTTCCTGCTCTGCTAGTGTGGCCCTCTGAGCATACAAACACCTTTGTAGCTAACATTTTTGTAATCTATATTAAAACATGTTCTAGCATTTCAGAGAGGGATTAGCAGCATGAAAAACTGGCAGGCATCTAGAGGGAAAAACACTTGTTTGTTTAAATATTTTACTATAGAGAGCTGCAGATATTTCTAACTCCCCTTTTGGGAGTGCTGAAGTAACCACCTAGGCACCTACTCTTC